ACGTCGTCCTCTGTCTTTCCTCGTGTTCGTCGTCGTCGTCCTCTTTGGCGTCGTGGTCGTTTCCGTCGTCGTTGTCGCCGTGGTCGTCCTTCCTCCTCCTCCCTCGTCGTCGTCGTCGTCCGTCGTCGGCGTCTCGTCGTCGTCCCTCCTATTTCGTCGCCGTCGTCGTCGTCGTCGTCGTCGTTGTCGTCGTCGTCTTCCCTCCTCCCTCGTCGTTGTCGTCGTCGGCGTCGCCGTCCTTCCTCCTTCTTCGTCGTTCGCGTCGTCGCCGTCCTCCCTCCTCCCTCGTCGTTGTCGTCGTTGTCGCCGTTGTCGCCGTCGTCGTCCTCCCTCCTCCCTCGTCGTCGTCTTCGTTGGCGACGTCGTCGTCGTCTTCGTCGTCGTCGGCGTCGGCGTCGTCTTCATCGTCGTCGTTGTCGGCGTCGTCGTCGTCGCCGCCGTCGTCGTCGTCGTCGTCGGCGTTGACGTCGTCGTCGTCGGCGTCGTCGTCGTCGTCGTCGTCGTCGTCGTCGTCGGTCATCGTCGTCGTCGTCGTCGTCGTCGTCGTCGTCGTCGTCGTCGTCGTCGTCGTCGTCGTCGTCGTCGTCGTCGTCGTCGTCGTCGTCGTTGTCGGCGTCGTCGAAGTCGAGACGTCGTCGGTGTCGTCGTAGTCGTTGTCGGCGGCGTCGTCGTCGTCGTTGTCGCTGTCGTCGTCGGCGTCGCTGTCGTTGGCAAGTGCCATTTGGTACCCACCGTCACGGTCTTAAGAGATTTTGCGAACCAAGTTGCGGGTGGGTGGGTGGGATGTTTGCGCGAGCAGTGGAGTGGTCAAGCGCGGTGCAGGGTAGCCAGTTGCACCACATAGACTGCACGATATAGATTGCACCACATATATTGCAATGCATAGTTTGCACCATACAGTTTGCATAACATATATTACACACTATATATATTGATCCATGTGTGTATATATACTATGCACCACACGTGTGGCAGCACATATACTGCGCTATACATGCAGTACCACAGAGTTTGTACACCATCAACATAGGTTGTACAACACATATTCCTATTCTGATATCTTTATTACCCGGAAGCCCCCCCCACCCCCAACCCTAAACCGGACTCCTCCCCCAGAGACGCCCTGGACGCCTTTTCGGACGTCTCAGCGGCCCCCTGGACGCCCTTGGGAAAAGATCCGCTGGCCCTTCCGAGCCCCCCAGGGCGCTTTGCCGGGCCTTGCGAGCAGACTCAGGGCGATCAGAGGGGTTCTCGGAGAGGCGCAAGAGAGACCCAAGACAGCACAAGAGCGCTCCAATAGGAACCTCGATGGTCTGAAGACGGCCCAAGAGGCCCCCAAGACACCCCAAGAAGCTGTTAAGAGAGCCCCGAAGAAGCAACAATCGTCCCATTCCCTCGCGAAAACGTATAAGCTTGACATATCCGCGGTTTGGGATTTCGCAGCGTTCACGACGGCCCGATGGGCCCCCGATATCGCCCAAAGACGGTCCAAGAGGCCCCCCAGAGGTGTGACGACGGCCCAAGAGGGCCCCAAGACTGCACCAGAGAGCCCCGAGACTGCCCGCAAGAAGCCCACTATGCCCCCAGAAGGCTCCCAAGAGAGACCCACGAAAACAATGGGAGACCCCCAAGAAGGCCATTGGAGGCCCCAAGAGGGCCCTAGATGGCTTCAGAAGGCCTCTGGAGGGCCCCAGCTCCCCAGGACGGCCAAGAAGTCCATGGGACGGCCCAAAAGGGCCCCAGGACGGCCCAAAAGAGCCCCCCAAACGCCCAGACGGCGTGTTCCTACGATGTATATCGGGCCGACCTGACGATCTTGGTTCCACGCTTGAGGCTCGAGGCTTAAGTTCCTCGATCGAGAGAGGCAGGCAATGGATCTAGATTCGAAGTTCGACGACCGAAGATTTCCTGAGTGCCTGGAGCCCCCCAGGCATTCGGGAAGCTATCAAAAATCGATGTGTTCGGAGCTACTGTGACTTCTTCGGCGTGTCATGGGAACACTCTTTACTTCCTCAAAGGACCTTCGCGCGTGAAGAAATCATCATTCTTTCCCCACTCCTGCGCACAAGCGTGCAAGCGCATCGGGCGAACGAGGTGTCAACAGGCACAAAGGATATCAGAAAAATGAGCCGGTCGCCCGTCCAGGCTTCGAGGTCCCCCTCGCTGAAGCAAACGATGATGTATTGCTTTGCCAGGGAGGGTCTGGAACAAAGCGCATGGCGCGAAGCGCCAATGCAGTCTTGTATATATATATATATATATGTATATATATATATATATATAGTTCACCACATCTGTTGCACACCATATATTGCAACACGTATGTTGCACCAGACAATTCAACATGTATTGACCAGCTAGATCGCACCACCTAGATTGCACCACAGCGTAAGTTGCCCGCCATATATTGCTCCTCGTAGATGGCTCCTCGTAGATGTGCCGTCGCGATAATCCTCTGCAGAAAACGGGGCGAAGTGCAGACTCGCGCGTCGTCGCGCGCGTATGCCGAAATCCTTCAAAACCCATCGGTTTCGGAAGGATTTCAAAATCGTGCGTCCAAAAAACCTACAAAACAAAAGGTTTCGCAACACGGATTTTCAACAAAAGCGTGCGCGCGCGCTCTTGCGTCGTCGTCGTCGTCGTCGTCGTCGTCGTAGTCGTCGTCGCCGTCCTCCCTCCTCCCGCGTCGTCGTCGATCGTCGTCGTCGTCGCCTGCGTCGTCCTCTGTCTTTCCTCGTGTTCGTCGTCGTCGTCCTCTTTGGCGTCGTGGTCGTTTCCGTCGTCGTTGTCGCCGTGGTCGTCTTTTCTCCTCCTCCTCTCTCGTCGTCGTCGTCGTCCGTCGTCGGCGTCTCGTCGTCGTCCCTCCTATTTCGTCGTCGTCGTCGTCGTCGTCGTTGTCGTCGTCTTCCCTCTTCCCTCGTCGTTGTCGTCGTCGGCGTCGCCGTCCTTCCTCCTTCTTCGTCGTTCGCGTCGTCGCCGTCCTCCCTCCTCCCTCGTCGTTGTCATCGTTGTCGTCGTTGTCGCCGTCGTCGTCCTCCCTCCTCCCTCGTCGTCGTCTTCGTTGGCGACGTCGTCGTCGTCTTCGTCGGCGTCGTCGGCGTCGGCGTCGTCGTCGTCTTCATCGTCGTCGACGTCGGCGTCGTCGTCGTCGTCGTCGCCGTCGTCGTCGTCGTTGTCGTCGTCGGCGTCGTTGACGTCGTCGTCGTCGTCGTCGGTGTCGTCGTTGTCGTCGTCATCGGCGTCGTCATCGTCGTCGTCGTTTTCATCGTCGTCGTCGTCGTCGGCGTCGTCGTAGTCGTCGTCGCCGTCCTCCCTCCTCCCGCGTCGTCGTCGATCGTCGTCGTCGTCGTCGCCTACGTCGTCCTCTGTCTTTCCTCGTGTTCGTCGTCGTCGTCCTCTTTGGCGTCGTGGTCGTTTCCGTCGTCGTTGTCGCCGTGGTCGTCTTTCCTCCTCCTCCCTCTCGTCGTCGTCGTCGTCCGTCGTCGGCGTCTCGTCGTCGTCCCTCCTATTTCGTCGTCGTCGTCGTCGTTCGTCGTCGTCTTCCCTCCTCCCTCGTCGTTGTCGTCGTCGGCGTCGCCGTCCTTCCTCCTTCTTCGTCGTTCGCGTCGTCGCCGTCCTCCCTCCTCCCTCGTCGTTGTCGTCGTTGTCGTCGTTGTCGCCGTCGTCGTCCTCCCTCCTCCCTCGTCGTCGTCTTCGTTGGCGACGTCGTCGTCGTCTTCGTCGTCGTCGTCGTCGTCATCGTCGTCGACGTCGGCGTCGTCGTCGTCGTCGCCGTCGTCGTCGTCGTTGTCGTCGTCGGCGTCGTTGACGTCGTCGTCGTCGTCGTCGGTGTCGTCGTTGTCGTCGTCATCGGCGTCGTCATCGTCGTCGTCGTTTTCATCGTCGTCGTCGTCTTCGGCGTCGGCGTCGTCGTCGTCGGTGTCGTCGTCGTCGTCGTTGTCGGCGTCGTCGATGTCGTTGGAGACGTCGTCGGTGTCGTCGTAGTCGTTGTCGGTGGCGTCGTCGGCGTCGCTGTCGCTGCCAAGTGCCTTTTGGTACCCACAGTCACGGTCTTAAGAGATTTTGCAAACCAAGTTGTGGGTGGGTGGGTGGGATGTTTGCGCGAGCAGTGGGGTGGACAATTCACTGCGAACATAGATTAATTCAACCGCATAGATTACACAACGTATATTGCCGCACATAGATTGCACCACAAAGATTGCGCAGCGTATGTTGAATGACATAAATGGCGCCACATCTATATGTATACATATATACACAGATGTGGCGCCAGATGTATACATATATATAGATACAAATGTGTGGTGCTATAGATATATATATGTATATGTATAATCATACATGTAGCACCACACAGGTGGCACAACATATACACATATACATATAACATGTATATATATATAAATATGTATGTATGTATATATACATATATATATATATATATTACACCCCATATATTTGCACCACATACACTGCACCACACATTTTGCACCACATGGATTGCTCAATGTAAAGCGCACCACATGGTTCGCTAGAATCAAACAGTTTGGGGTCTACGCTGGCTTCACCTATGTAATTTCGTATTGTACTCTGGAGTGGATTTCGTGTGTTCTAAATCGCACGTGGCGGTTATACGATTTCACTCTGCTTAGGCCGTAGGGATCAGGCCGGCGGGGTCGGCGTCTTTATGGCTAATCATGGGGTTCGGTGGGGTACCACGTACTGATCATACCATCAGCCGCCATTCACGGTGCCGACGTTTTCACATCATTCTTGTGTGGTCTATGACTAGTTGTTGATGCTCAATTTAGAAACACACACACATATATATAGAGAGATATGACCAGTCTTGGGACATTCGTATTTGTTCATTCTGCGAGTGGGCAGCAATTGTCCAACCCACCTTGTTCTCACATGCACTGCCAGAATGTGCGCTGCACGCGCACGGGTGAGGCCAGATTAGGAGGTTGGGGACTGGCGTTCCGTGGCCCGCATCCCTCAGCCGTTTTGGCTCGAGCCGTGCAGCCTGGCCTGCTCAACTCTCTGGCGACTGCGCCGGCTCGCCCCGTTCCGGACGAGGACGAGGGCGAGGCGGCGCCGCCGGGCACCAGAAGGGTGGTCCGCGGGCCTGGCCATCCAGCCAGCCCGCGGCGCGGCTGAGTAGCTGCCCGGTTGGGCGCGGCGGTTGCACTCGGCGGCGTCTGTAGGCCAAGCTGGCCACCGCGCGCGAGACGACGAAGAAGAGGAAGCGCAGCAAGAAGGAGGCGGAGGCGGAAACTGGGGCGGGCGGTGCTGGGGTGGGGGAGGGCGAGACCGAGGCGGACGCGCCAAGGGTTCCCGCCGCTGGCAAGGGCGGTGCGCAGAAGGCACCAACACCGCAGCAGAAGAAGCAGAAGGGCAAGAGCAAGAAGAGGCGGGCGAAGGAGAGTGTGGAGCGCACGGCCTCGAGCGTGGCCTCTGCGGCGGTTGCGGCGAAACCGCGGCCGCTGCCGCCGCACCAGCTTGTGCTCGCACCGATGGTTGGCGGCAGCGAGCTTGCGTTCCGACTGCTGGCGCGGCGGTACGGCGCGCAACTGTGCTACACGCCGATGATGCACGCAGATCGCTTTGCCGCCGACGCGGCGTACCGGGCCGCTGAGCTGCAGACGTGTCCCTCGGACATGCCGCTGGTGGCGCACTTTTGCGGCAACGACCCGGCCACGCTGCTTGCCGCTGCTTGCCTGGCCGAGCCGCACTGTGTGGCCGTTGATCTGAATTTGGGCTGCCCGCAGCGGGCCGCGCACTCGGGGTGCTTCGGCTCGTTCTGCCGCCGCCTCGGCGACCCAGGCGATGCGATGGACACCGCGCTGGTTCTCGACATCGTGTCGACGCTGGCCGCTGGGCTGACGGTGCCGCTCTTCGTCAAGATTCGGCTGTTCGACGAGCTCGACGACACGCTCCGCTTTTGCCGGCAGCTTGAGGCCGCTGGCTGCGCGTTGCTCGCGGTGCACGGCCGCTACCGGGGCTCGCCCACGCACAAGCGCGACGGCGCGGCACACTTGGATCAGGTGGCGGCGGTCAAGCGGGCCCTCACCATCCCTGTGCTGACCAACGGCAACGTCAGCAACGCCGAGGACCTGCTTGCGGCGCTCGAGCTGACCGGCGCCGACGGCGTGATGAGCGCCGAGGGCGCGCTCGACGATCCAGCAATCTTCGGCAGGGCGGTGGCCTTGGCCAGGCAGCGGCGACGTGCGATCACCGCCGAGCTAAACGCGGCCAAGGCGCTTCAGGCCGAGGCCGCGGCCGGCCGAGCGCTCGACTCCGCGGAGCAGCAGGCGGTGGCCGGGATCCAGGCGCTCAAGAAGCAGCGGCGGGCGTTGCCGGCCTTTGCCAGCGGCGGCACCGCGCCAGGGCTCGGGACTGGCATGGCCGAGCCGCCCGGGGCCCTGGATCTGGCCGGGGAGTATTTGGCGCTGGCGCGGAGCCACCGCCCGACGCTGCGGTGCGTGCTGTTCCACCTTCGCCGGATTTGCCGCGACCCGCTCCGCCGCTTCGGGATGCGTGAGGCGCTGGAGGCGCTGGGGTCGTCCGTGTCCGAGACGGTGCGGGAGCAGCCGATCAGCAACGGCAATCTCAAGGCCGCCACCGCGCTGCTCCGCAAGCTCCGCGATTACGACGAGGGCCGCGCCGCGCCGCCAGCCCCTGCCCCCGCTGACGCGGCACCCACCGCCGCCGAGGCGGCCGCCGCGGCGGCGACCGCGGCAGCCGCGGTGGCGGCGGCGGCAGCCCGGGCCCGGGCGGTGACCCAGGCTGGCGGCGCGAAGCAGAGCGCAGCCGCGGCCGCGGCGTGCGCGGCGAAGCGCCAGGAGTTTGAGCAGATGCAGCGCCGGAAGGCGAAGCGGAAGGGGCTGCCTGACGACCACTTCCTTGAGCAGGGCCGCGCCCCGCCTACTGTGGCCGACGTGGCCCGGGTTCGGCGCATGGGCGAGGCGGAGCGGATGGCGTACTGGCGGGAGCGGTGCGGGCAGCACTGCATCATGCACCACCTGAACGGGCGGTGTGAGGTCGCGCTGACCTGGGGCTGCGGCTTCCTCCACGAGGCCGCGGTGCCGTGAGACCGCGCCGCGCTCTCGATCGATGCACGTGTCCTCGAGGTTTGGGCCACTGCTGGCGTGTGCCTTTGGGACCGGCTACCTGTTGGACGCCCGCGTCAACCGCCACCCTGCTGGAACACCACCCATTTGTCTGGGTCGCCCCGTCGGATGTAGCCCCCTCCCAGAGCTGCCGTCGAGGCAAGTGTCACCTGAGACTAATAGAGCAGAGAACAAGGAGAGGGGATGCGGGGGAGGTGCATCTTCTTACGGTGGCACACAAGGGCTCGGGAACACATCGGTATTATCCTCGTTCCAGGGGCGATGACATGTTTCGTTCCGCTTTGCGTGTGCCTCCTTGGCCTACTCACCAGATGGGTGCGCCAGGTGGTTGCGTCATCATAATACGTCATGCCTCAAGGTTGCGTGACTGCCCTTCCAAGGAAAGAACCAAGAAGGAGGAGGAGGGCGGACAGCTAGAATTGATTTGAGATGGAGCCTGCTTTGATTGAATGGGGGGGCAGGGAATAAGAGAGAAGTGTTGACGAGGGAATGCGAGTGGTCTGGCTTGCCCTGTCGCAATCTTGCCTGGCATCCTTCTAACCTGGCTTGCCCGTCATGTACCTATTTCTACATGCGTGTGTGTGTGGTTGTATGTGTGTGTGTGTGTGTGCGTGTGCGTGTGCGTGTGCGTGTGCGTGTGTGCGTGTGCGTGTGTGTCTGTGTGTGTGTGGTCTGAGGCGTGGCAAGCAAAAGGACACATCGTTGCCCATGGGTGCTGACCACCCCGACGCCCGTGTGGCCTGTTCCCGGAGAAAGCCGAGGGGGCCACGAGGGCCGAGCAGACGAGCAAGAAGTGATGTCAACGTTGCCAAGGAGACCTCCAGAGGTCCTGGCCTGCCTCCGTCGGCGGCGACCCCAGGGGGGAAATAAGAAGGAGAAGGCCTTCTCAGAAGGCTCGGGAAGTCCCCTGGCCTTCTGAGAAGTTTTCTGAGTCTTCCCCAAAGACACAAACTCATGAGAAGTCCTGCCGCCGTCTGAGGGGGCCTTTCTCTTCTCTTTCCGCCCTCTCGCTCGCCGCCGACTCCAAGATGTTTTCAAAAAGGCCTGCAGCATCGGCCCGTGAGCCAGCACATGTCGAGGAACAGCACGGGCGCTCTGGCTCTGCAGACCCGGCTGGCCCCAGGGGGCCGGGAGAGTCTGCCCGAGACTGCTGGCACCTGGCCCCGGGCGCGCCCGACGAAAAGCGTGGCTATTCCCAAGACGAGTTCAAGCCAGCTCAAGATCTGCCCAAAAATGTTGAAGGTCGCCCGCAGGTGTTGGTTACATCACCCCCAAATGGTTCTTAGACTCCCTTTCTGCGACCTTAGGATCCTGTAGAGACCCCAAGACCCCTCCAGACAGCACAGCCCTCCAGCATCCAAATGACCCTTCTTGGAGTCCCCCAAGCCAAGAGGCCTTACGGAGACCTCGAGAAGGCTCTCCACGAAAGGGGCATTACGATATGCACACGCACTCAAACATGTGACCATAGGTTAAGCCCGTGCCTCCAGTTCCATGTGCAGTGAGCCCTGAGGATCCTTTAGCAGAACATGCGGAGGTCAAAACAAAGGAGAAGGCTTGTGGGAAGGAGGAAGAGGATGAGGATGATGACCTCGACGACAACCACGGCGATCATGAATCGCGGAAAGGAAGGAGACGAGAAGGAGGCCGACTCAGATGGCAAAACAGGAAGGAATGACGCCACACATGCTGCTACCGTGACCCACCCAGTAACCCACGTCCCGCTGTGCTCGGCATGTTCAAGAAATTCGAAGGAGCGTGCAGTCTTGAAACACACAAGTGGCTGTTGACGAGGAGGGGAAGGATGGAGGAGGAGGAGGAGGAGGAGGATGTGGATGACGAGGAGGAGGAGGAAGAGTAGGTGTACTCACAGCGGAGTAACAGAACGACGGAACAGAGAGCGCCGCTTGGATAGCAATACATAGGGATGATGTTTCGAACATGCCCCAGAGATGCATCGTGGCAGACTCCCATTGTGTTTGAACTTTGCCTTGTTGCGCACTTTGGATGCAACCTTTGAGGGCGATGGAGGAGGAGGAGGAGGAGGAGTAGAAGGAACACCTTAGCGAAGATAATGGCTCGGGCGAGGAGGAGGAAGAGGCAGGTCTGGAAGATGACGAGAAGGAGGAGGAGGAGGAGGAGGACGGGCAGAAGGAGAACGGGTGGAGGGTTGAGCATTGTGGCTTAGTTTCCAGAGTGAGGGAGGGCGACGGCAGCATGGACAAGGGGAACACCTCCCCATGCATCGCGAACATGTCATGCTTGTATATACACAAGCGTATATGTATACATATACATATCAGCCAGCGGCTCGAATCCAGGAATCAGAGGAATCAGGCATGCTTGGAATCCGCAACTCATCAAGCAAGCGTGCGTGCAAGCACGCGCGCAAGCAAGCACGCAAGCAAGTAAGCAATCAAACAAGCGAGCAAGCAAGCACGCACGCGTGCAAGCAAGCAAGCGTGCAAGCGCGCAAGCAAGCACGCAAGCAAGCAGGCATAGGCATAGGCATAGGCGAAGGCATAGGAGTTAGGGGGGAGGCATAGGCATAGGCATAGGCATAGAAATAGGAATTAGGGGGGGGCACAGGAACGAGGGGGGGGGGGGGCAACGGACCAATTAGTGGGGTTTGAGCTCGGACTCCTATAGGGCAGTCCTATTTGGAGAATCTAGCGGTAGCACATGTACACACATACATGTATATGTATGTCTGTATGTATGTGTGCGAAGGTATGTATGCATGTATGTATGTATGTATGTATGTATGTATGTATGTGTGTATGTATGCATGCATGCATGCATGTATGTATGTATGTATGTATGTATGTATGTATGTATGTCTCTATGCATGTATGTATGCATCCACCGATGAATGTATGAATGCATATGTTTGTATGAGTGTATGTGGGCATGCACGTATGTGTGTATGCGTGTACGGATGCAGATAAGTAAGTATGGATGCATGTGTATATATATATATGTTGACAAGACTGCATTGGCGCTTCGCGCTATGCGCTTTGTTCCGGACCTTCCCCAGCAAAACAATAAGTCATCGCTGGCTTCGGCGGGGGGGACCTCCAAGCCTGGAGTCCGCACAGGGCCGCGCCGCGGGGGGCCCCGCCGCGCCCCCTGCGACCTGCCGCGTCGCAGAGATCCGCAGCCACTGCTGGCTCTGGCCGTTTTCGGGGCTAGCCCGGCGTCCCAGGGGCAGCGACCGCGTTCCTTACTGCAGCAGCCCGACTGCAGGAAGGAATGCAGTCCGCGCGCATGTCAAGGTTGGGTGGCATTCCCAAGGGTACCCTTGCATCCTTGCCGAAGGGGCCTGTCCCCAGGCGATCCTCAGCTCAAGTAGCTCCAACTTAGGCGTCAAAGGGGCCTTTGTCCTCACCGCGCATCCTTATCATGCGCGTTGACTGTAGGCTCAAGGGGGGAATGCATCGACCCCCAATCGCCCTGTGGTCGCCGATAGGGGCCTGATGGCCCAGACCCGCCAAGGAAGGTGCAGTTTCGCTGTCTGGGGCCTATCTCGGTTCTCTTGGCGACGTGTCGCCGATTCCAGGTCGATGTTCCCTTCTCCCCTGAGCTGGTCCCCCCCCTAACGTTGCCCCTCAGGTTCACTCAGGCACTTGCCGCAGCATCTGTAGGGTTGACGGTCTCCAACCGTGGCGCCAGCGAGCAACTCCGCCACCCTCCTGCCATGAGCGAGGAGATGATGAGTGCGAGCTTCGCGGCCACTACTTCTGCCGTGAACGAGGCAAGGACGTGCTGTCGGGCCCGCTGTGGGGGCAGCTGCAGGCCGCGTGGCAGCAGAGCTCCTGTGTTAGCCACCGGCGCAGCGACCACCGCGGCCGTTCCTGGCCCAGCGGAGCGCGAGAACGAGGCCGGGGATCTGGTTGAGCCTGGCGATCGCTTTCAGGCCAGCGTGGACGGGGCAGAGAAGCCCTCGGGAGGAGACCAGAAACTACCGCCACGCGACCCTGGAGCGCTTTGGAGGGCGGCCAGGGGCGTCGTTGGCATGACCGCACCCTCGCCCCCCTACCAGCTACGGCGGACCATCAGCCTCACTGCAGTCAACGACGCCCAGCGTTATCTGGGTTCGGAAAGCCCAGGGAGTCCCAAACGCGAGGGAGGGGGCGGGTCGAAGCTAGACGACTCGCAGATCCAGCGCACCTCAATGCGCCTCGAGGGCCTCGAGAGCTTCAGCACCTTGGCAGCCTTATTCACTGGATTCTCGCTGCAGCTACTTTCCTCAGCCATCATGACGGATCCAATCGATGGCCATTCTGCCATGATGTTCCTCGTCATCAGTTTCAGTTCGTTCGGCACTCTTTTGGCGTTGTATGCAACCATTGTCTTTGCGCTCTGCAGTCTCTACGGCAAGGCAAGCTTGGGTCTGAACAACGACGACGGCTATTTGTCTTTCATCACGTTTACGGCAGTGTATCGGGAGAAGGCTTTTTTGTCCCTTCTCGCTTCCATGCTGAGTCTGTGTGCCACGTTCATGGCTTTACTAGCTTTGAGGTGCCCTTTGATGACGTCTTGTACCATCAATGCAGGCGTTGCGTACTTCTGCTGGCAGTCTCAGGACCACGTGCGGAGAATCATGGGTGCTGCTCAGGAGCATGTCTACTGATATTCAGGTTACATGGTTTTCACACATTGGGTCCACCCCTGCAATTGTTTTAGCATAGCTGCAATGCCGTATCTTCGCCCCACACTCGCTCAAGGGAGTCAACAGCCACGACTGTGTAGTTCGATG